CATAAGTCGCTCCGACGATCGAGGAGGTGAAGAAGAGGAGAAGAGGGAGGGGAGGGGAGGGGAGGGGAGGGGAGGGGAGGGGAGGGGAGGGAAGCCTGAAGGGAAGGAGGGGGAGGGGAGAGGAGGGGAGGGGAGGGGAGGGGAGGGGAGGGGAGAGGAGGGGAGGGGAGGGGAGGGGAGGGGAGGGAAGCCTGAAGGGAAGGAGAAGCGGTGGAACAGAATGAAAAAGACATGGAAAGGAATAACCGAATAGAGTAAACTCATGCCCAAGAGGAGAGCAGAACAGTAGAGCAGGAGAGAGTCAAAGCGAGGAGAATAGAAAAGGGTAGAATGGCGAGGGTGGTCACAGAGGAAGGGAGACACTGAAAAGCGGAGAAGGGTAGGAGAGGAGGTTGTCGAAAACAAATTAGTGGATTGAATGGCTGACATGGAGCTACATAAGCAGCAAAGTGGCGAAGGCCATCATTCAGATCGAGAAGCTGAGATCGGAAAAGAATGAGCTGACGACTCAAGACCGCGAGTTGATTCAATCCCTTGAACGAGGAGTGTATCGCCGACAGACCTGGGTCGTAGCCTTGTCTCTCCTCACCCTTGCGCTCGGAATCTTGATCAACGAAGTCTGCGTCTCTCCCGACTATGTCACGCAATTTCCAAGCGAAGCTGAGCTAGAAGCTCTCGCACGAGGAGCGTCGAACTCAGCATACGCGCGCTCTTGCGATTGGAAGTACGGGAATATTCTCAAGTCGTTGTGCTCATTATCAGTGATCTGCCTGCTGGTTGCAATCTTGATTCGGTTCAAGCAGGAGATACAGTTGAAGCAGACAAAGAAACGTTTGCAGGAAAAGAACATCTTCCACATGTTTGGATCTCATGCCAGGGAACACCTCATAAAGATAACAAAGCGAGAGCTCTTCTGGCTAGTTGCTGAGCTTGGCATTTGCATGATTCACCCCTTTCCTTTCTACAAGAATGATTATGAATGGAACGTGCTTGGACGGCCTCTTTTCTACCGGTTTGAGTCCATCATGTGTGCTCTCATGCTCGTTCGCTTGTTTCATCTGTGGAGTTGGATCCTTGCGAGCTTGTACCTTCTCTTCTTCAACCTTGAGTCTTCCTACCGCACTCAAGACTTCGAGCTCATAAAGTCCGTGCAGCAGCTCAGCCAAGACCGAGGAACAAGCTATCGCATGCTCTCCTTCAAGATCGCCATGTCTAAGAGCCCCCCAGCAGTGATTGCAGTTTGTACCATCATGGTGCTGATGCCCTGCTCGTACCTCTTCCGTCTCTCCGAAGGCCCGGCCTACGTCGATCACAGCAGGTACTTCTGGGATCAGGTCTGGAACGTCCTCACCCAGGCCACGACGGGCTACGGCATGACCTCCCCCGCCACTCACATCGGCAGGATGGCTTGCTTCGTGTGCATCGCGTGGACCCCCATCGTCATTGCGCTCACGACGGCGTCGACGACGAGCTCACTGAAGCTTTCAGGGGACGAGGATAAGCTGATCAAGCGCATGAATCTGAATCAGCTTCACCTCAAGCTGATGGAGGCGGCAGCCTCAGTCATCCAGCAATGGTGGAGGTGGAGGGGCAGCTGGCTGATGCCGTCGGAGCTGCTGGAGAAGCATCGGCTCGACACCATGACAGGTTTCTACAAGGCTCTGCATGACTTCAACAGGTTCAAGATCTCCAACGGCTTCACCCACCTGCTGCCTCAGCTGCAAAAAGCTCCCGCAAAGCTTCGCAGAGGAAGCGGCTCCTTCTCCTTCGCCTCAACTCCCAGGATCGAGGCGATGCCGCGACCCGACTTGAATCGGCCACTCCTGCCTCCCCGAACTCGCGATGGATGTGAAGCCGAGCAAGAAGCGCGCGCAGGGCTAAACTTAACCCCTAACCCTAAACCTCTGCAGATCCCCTCGCTAAGGTCAACTCTTCTTCTTTCACTCCTCCTACTCCCCTCACTTTGCCTCTCTCCTTGTAATCTTCGCCATCATCCATTTCCTGCTCGTTGTTCCTCTCGCTGAGATGCCGTTAGGCTTCCCGATCGCAACCTTTCTAGTTCGCAACCTTGTAACGAGATCATCGAGATGGTTACCTGCATCCTCCTCCTCTCGTTCATGTCGTCTTCTTCCTCGTTCATCTCCTCGCTCCCTTCAATGCTCGCTCTCCCTTCTCTTACCATCCCCTCTCGAATCCTCTCCTTGTTGATCATTCTTCAGCTTGCGGATATCACGGGGGAGATCCGGCATTTGAGCGAGAGGATCGCCAGCCTTGAGGAGGAGAAGACTTCTTTTGATGTGAGTCGTGAAGCGAAAGCAGGACAGATCTTGACCTGCTTCAAGGTACACGCGGATGTGATGGAGGCGATGGCAGAGCTCAGACATGAGGTGGAGGGTCAATGTTGTTCATCGACGCTTCTCACCTTCTGTTCAGATCCGACAGCTGAGATCAACCAGGGCTGACGAGCATGGAAGAAACGCGCGAAGTCGCTCGCAACCGATGATGCCAGCAAGCAATGACAGGGAAGACATGGGCAGGGAGAAGGCGAGAACGCGAGAGGATCTCTTGGAGACGATCTCCATCTACTCCAACGGAAGCCTTCAGGCTCCTCCTCGGTTTGGCAGCTCCCCTTCCTTCCCCCTCTCCTTTTTCAGTGACTGCTGAGCAGAAGCCCAGGAGGGGTCTCATGCCTGGTCTCTCATGCCAGCGGTGACTTGGAGCAGCTCCCACCTCTTTTCCAGCAGCCGAGGGCCTCCCATCCTCAAGTCACTCCGAGGAGCAAGATGCGAAGGTCCCTCGCCTGCAAGAACTTCCGTTGCCCCTCTCACTTCCACCAGGATCCTTGACAAGGCTCGCCTTGCTCTCCTTCCTTCTCCCCGCCTCGCTGCCGACATCTGCATCTCCTCGCCACACGGCCACCTCATGTCTCTACCAGGTCAGCTCCCACCTCTTCTCCAGCTGCTTGCTCACCTTCACACAGAAGCTCGAGAGATGTCGGCCACCCCCAGCAAGGACACAGCTAGCTCCCATAGGTTGTCCCGTGAGCTCGCTTAAGTTTAGGGTTTAGCTTGCTTAAGTTAATCACATTCAATAACATTCGCTAGCTCTACATCTCGCCGAAGTCACGCGAAGGACTGGGCCCGCCTCACCCCACCTGCTTTCTTCTCCTCCACAGCCACCGAGCTGTTCCAGTCAGGATGCACGTTCTCTATCGAAGCCTGCGGCAGCTTGAGTACGTTGCAACAAGAGAAGATACAGGAGAGAGGGAGGAAGGGGAGGGAGGAAGCCATTAGGAGAGGGAGAGGGAGGGGGACGAGAGGTACCACCTGCTTCCTCATCGCCTCAACCATCTTCTTCCTCTTGTGAGTTTGTGCGATCCTCTTGACAAACTCAGGCGCTTCATGGATTAGCGGTTGGAACGTGCACTCCTCCAGCTCCTTCTCTCGCAGCTCCTGTGCGGTTCTGCTCTGCTCCTGCTGGGCTCGACGCTGCTCGTGCTCTACGCGAGCGAGGTAATTGTGGGGGTCAGAGCTGATCTTGAGTCGACTCTCCACCCCAGGGACCGCGTTGAGCTGGGGTTTGTAGGTGTAGAGCGAGGTGTTACGGTACTCCACGTCTCTCTTCACGGTAAGCTGGGCTTCTCCCTGCCTTGTCATATCCCCGTAGCTCATCTCGTGCCACGACCTTCCTCGCAGCTCTCGACTAGCTCGGTTGATCTTGGGCTTGAAGCTGTGCTCCCCATCTGCTTTCTCCTGCTGTTCCCTCCGCGTCTGCTCCCTCCTGTCTATCATCGCTTCCAACCGATCGAGGAAGCTCCCCGCCATCTTCGGGTCCTTCTTGACCTTCTTGTCGATGAGCCGCTTGGACCTCTCCGACAGCAGCGAGCGCGGATGCGTGGGAAGCGACTGCTGCCTCTTCTGCGCCATGTGAAACTCCATCCTCCTCACAAACTGCTCCTGCCGCTCCAAGAATGCGTCGAAGGACGATTCGCTGCTCACGCTCGTGTTGGGTCGTGACTGTGTAAGCGAGTGAGCGAGTCAGTGGTGGTGGTGAAGAAAGAGGAGGAGGAACCTTTGGAGCACTAGCTGGTCGAGGTTTCTCCTTCTTGTTGCTACTCATGTTTGTTGAGCTTTCAGTTGAGACCTGAGGCGAGACAGGGCGAGGACGACTGACACTGCAGTGAGAGCAAGGAACAAAGCCACAGAAAGCGAGGAAGAGAGGAAGAGACCTTAGCCGAAGCCATGCTGGCTCAGAAAGATACTCCTTGGCAACCTGCATTTCGTTGGATGGCTTGTTCACGCGAGGCTGCTCAGGCCATGAGTGCAGGAGGCGAGGGGGACAAAATGAACCTTGAAGGTGCATTCAAGCAGCTCCTTCTCCTCTCGCATCAAGTGACTCTCCTCCATGCTGACATTCTTTCGCGGGGTTATGTCCATGTACCTGCTTCTCACGGGTGTAGGGTCTCTCTTCCCTGACGGGTTCACCTGGGCTCAACCTCACCACCTGCTCACCCCCAGCTGCACCTCACCTGCGGCTTGAAAGTACAGATCTTTTCTATCTCCTTATTCAGTCGCTCCCTGAGCTGAGCCTGTAGCTGCCTCTTCTGTTCTACTCCGTGATCGTACAGCCTGTTCACCACTCGCTCCTCCTCCAGAACCCTCGAGCTGGACAGGCCTCCCAGCTCACCTGCCAGGGGCTCAGGTCATGGAGGGCAGAGTGCGGGGGAAACCGAGGAAGGACTCCGTCCTTTGGCTGGTCATGGGGCGAAAGGTGCAGTCAATTTCCTTCTCCTTCTCCAGCTCCTGTCCATCAGGCATCGCGTCATCGCCTAGCAGGCAGCTGCGCATTCCGGTCACCAGTCGCTTGCTCTCAATCGCGTCTTCTTTGCGGCGCTGCCAAGCAAGCTGCATGCTCGTCACGTTGTTTAGGTGTTAAGTCTCAGGAGAAGTTGACCTGCCGCTCGTAGATGCTCTTGTGACCACCAGAACAAGACTGTAAGTCATCCTTTTCAGCAGACATGCTCAATCGATCCTGATCATCACCTTGAGGTATTGCGTCGAAGAGCTCGAATACAGCTGAGGTTGAAAGGTGCACTCCTTCTTCCTCTCTTCCTCGATCTTTTTCCTTCTCGCCAACGTCTTTGGATCTGAATGCCATTTAAACGTATGGGCGGCATCCACGGCTACCTGGGCCTCGGGCAGACAAAGCCACGGGGTTAATGTGTGTTGTCTTCTTCGTACGTAGAGCGGGAGAGTGGAGGGAGGAGTGCTTGAGCAAAGCTGACCTGACTCTACTCCCAATTGCCTGAGCTTCTGGTTGATTGCCAAAGATCTCTTCGTGCCGTCCCTGAGGAGGAGCGGAGGACGGACGAGCAAGTGAGGAAGTAGAGGAGAGGAGCTGGTCTGTCCATGCTCCTTCCGTTCTGCCTGCCCTCTCGGCAGAGAGTACGATGGGAGCGCTGGCATCGAAGTCATCAGAATGCTCGACCAGGTCTAGCAAGTCCTCTCGCGATCTGTACGAAGAGACGGGCTCGTCACTCGCACTGCTGCCATATTTCAGTTTCGCTCTCCGAACAAGATCTTCTGTTCGTCGGAGCAGGACAGATCAGACTCGGAGGTCAAGCAAACTTCTAGTCACCTTCGCCCCCAGATATTCTCGATTCCTCCTGCACCTCGCCTTCTATCTTCTTTCTGCCGACAGGCCCGCCTGACGACACGCTCCCTGGATCTGTTGCAGTCAAGTCTTGAGAGGAGTTCCGCAGCCTGTCACGGTGCAGAAGTCAAGTGAGCAAGGGACAAGAGAAAGGAAGAAGCGAGGCGAAGCAAACTTTGTTCACCTGCTCAAACTCTCATACAGCTCTTCTTTGGTCAACTTGCCTGCCTTGAGTTGTTGGACAAGCGAGACCACGCTGGTCTCTTGTTCCTTGCTTGTCATGAGCGACAGATGCGAGAGTCCTTGTGCCGTCACAGGGCAAGTACGCGCATCAGCCGGGAAGACGTCTCCGACGAGTTCAAGACCTCTTCACATTCTCCTGACGGGCTGATTCTTCGCATGAGAACCAGAAGGAAGCATGCGAGGCCGCCACCTCCCCTCAGCCTCTGACCTTCGACCTCCAACAGCTGGACAAAACTCTTGGGAGCCTGGTCCATTACAGCCAGTCAAAAGAGGCTTGACAGTCCTTGTACTACATCTCAAGTTCTTTCATCGCCTGCCTCTCCCCCAATCTCGAATAGTCATATTTCAACTCTCATCCCCACCCCCCTTTCTGGGCTTTGTCTTCAGTCTGTAGATTCTCAACTGTTTCAACTCAACATTCCTGTCTGATTCTTGATAATTTGCTATGCATATCCTGCTTACATCTCGTCTCTCTCATCGAACTCCGAATCTACATGTACAATAACGCATCTTTATCTCGACTAGGGCCAACTTGTTTGATCCAATGTCTACTCTGCACATGATGATGCGATTGTCATGACATATTCATCACCACATTGATGCCTTTTCTATGGGCCATTGGTTACCTTGCCCAGTCTTTCTTCGCTTCATCATTCATCACCATCAGCACTCTCGGTCTCTGTCTCTCTGTCTCTGTCTCTCTGTCTCTCTCTCCCCCACCAACTGCTACGAGCCTCAACACTTGAACTGGTCATGGCGAAAATCCTGTCTTGGCCCAGACGTAGAGCACAAAGGGTGGGTACTCTGCTTTCTACCCGTCTTTTAGAGGTTTAAGATGGGTCAGAAGGAGGGGTGGTATAGCATTCAAATCTCAAACCCTGGTGGGTACACGCTCAGTCCGTTCAAACCTGACCGTTACAAAACGACCGTTTCCAAATTGAAGGACCCCACCACCCCAGAAGAACATTCCGGGGAAGACGGACCCTACCCCCCCTCAGACTTTTTCTAAAAAGAAAATGAACCTGCTTCCCACCCCCTCCTCACCACTCTGGCCACCCACCCCTCCCGTAAGGAGCTTAGACTAGTCGGTTCATCGACGGTTACGTGAATGAGTTTATAATACTTTTGAGAAGAGTTGAATAGACCCCTACCCATTCATGGTACAGTTTAAAATACATTAGTTACAAACATGTCGTATCGAATCTCATTTAGATAACTTGCTGGAAATTAAATATGCTTTTATTTGTGCGAAAATAATATTGTTACGATGTCTTAATCTGGTAGAGACACTGATGGTCCATACAATTTTTGGATTAAATACTTATAAAAATCAACTATTAACCCAAATTGTACAGCAAAATTAAAACCTTTTTGTTGAAAACATTGTAAAACTGGTTTGAATGGGAATTCAGGCCGTGGGGTGGGGGCTACGGAGTACCGGTACTTTTACCTCACTTTTTCACAGAAATGGGTGGGTCTGTTTGAATTCTCACATCAGGATCCGAGGTAGGGTGAAGGTACGATGCCCTTAGCTTCCCGCGCGATGGCCGAGAGAAGGGTGCAGGGGAAGGAGAGCGGGAGGAGCAGAAAGTTAGCATGCGATCATGATCGTGATGAAAGAAGCAAGACCACGAGAGAGAGCCAGAGAGAAACAGCCATTTTGCGATGGATACAGAGCCACGCTGAGAAGAACATAGATACCCTAGCATTGTTCGCGATAGTCCTTCAATCCACTGGAATAGCTGTATTGAATGGTGATAAGATCAGATAAGTCGAGGAAAGGAAGAAGATTTCCCTGGAGCTTACTTGTGTTCCTTTCTCACACTCTCACTGATATTCTTGACAGGGTCTATGCCTATTTGAGGCCCGACTGCCAGAAGTTGTGAACCATGTTTTATAGTACAAACGTGCTTCAGAAAAAAGGTCCTCTCGGGACCATATGGATCGCAGCCCATCATGATGTCGCCAAGAAACTAACCAAGTTGCAAATTTTGAACACAAACATTTGCGAGACTGCTGGTGAGGAAACTGCCTACGGTCCATGTCGCTGATAGTGAGTTGCAGAGCAAATAGAGAACCCAGAGCAAGAGATGGCCTTGCGATTGAGCAGTCACCTGCTTGTTGGCCTCAGTAAAATCTACACAAGGAAGGTTCAGTTCCTCTTTACCGACTGCAACGAAGCTCTCTCCAAGATCACGCTGGTATCCCCAACCCACTCCCGTAGTGGTCTGTGAGCCCTTTGCCAGGCCTTCCGCCCAAGTAACGTTGACCTGGCGCCCGTGAGCAGCAAAGCACAGATCAAGGCAATCACGCTTGAAGACCCTGGGATCTCGGGCATCGACCTAGACTTGGAGCTCAACCTGACTGATGCAGACTGGTTGGGTTCAGAGTGAGTGGAGATTGAGTGTGTGAAAGTTGTAAGTGGCCCGCAGGGTGAATTTCAGCCAAATGTCCTCAGCAGACATTACCTTGCCCGATGTGATCGTCGAACAGAGAGAGGAGGCCGCGAGGTATCAACGCTGTCTGCACAGCAGCAAACCTGAGGGCATGTCGTCAGGTTTGAGGACGAGGACCCTCTATTCTTCGGCGGGGCAATTCAAGGAGGCGACAACCCTCTTGATATCAACTATGACGCTGCTTCTCCCGAGCTCCCACGCGATGTACTCTGCTGGTCCTCGTGACTCTATCGCTCTTTAACTCAAGGAGCAGGACGAGGAGCCTGAGATTAGGAGGGACAGCGACGGCGCAGGGCACTTGGATGACCTATTGGACGTGAACATGGAGGAGTCGGGTTCTTGTCTGTCGTTATTTCTTCTGAGCTCTTACTTTGACTTCAGCTTTCAAAGATGACCTGCCTGAGTTCAACCCGGAACAAGCGCCAGCACGAGAATCAGAGCTGCATCCGCCTTCCTTAGGATCTATTCCTCCCACGCCTATCCGGATGTCGCAAGCTAGCGTTGGCTTAGAATTGGATACTCCTATCCTCGACTCAAAACGGCAAAGGTTGAAATACAGAACGCGGTTCCAAGGATAACTTGTTGCAGACTTGCGAGCAAAAGGCGAAAGAAAGACATTCAGATGGACAAAAAGACGGAGCTTGAAAAGGAAGTCCGTGTGAAATGGCTTGAAAATGCGAGCGACCTTGTTCGAGACCCTTGCCAGTACCCCAAAAAGTCTTGCGAGGTTTTAATGAGCATTCAGACTGGATGAGTTCTGTTAATTTGTGTATGATCAGAAAGCGAAGCTTGCAAACTCGGATGCTTTTGGGAGAAACAAGCTCGTATCAATGCTTGCACAGGAGCCATTGAGGTTAGTTTGGTTGATTCGCTGCTAAACATATGACATCGTGCCAGCGGTTATTTGGGATCGAGATTGCGCAAGTTCATGGCTGACCATCCCACACGCAAAGACGAGATACAACAATCAAGCTCCAGGAAGCGAAAGGTGCGAGCAAGAGAGGCGGAGGACGAGATGGTGGATCAAAGTCAATTCCCGATGGAGTCAGAAGCTTTCCCCGAAGAGATGTTAGAGCAAGCTGAAGCTCCTGAAGCTCCTTTGGATGATTCTATGGCCGAGCCGATGGTCTCTCAGCCCGACTTGTCGCAGGACCGTGAAGCGCTCTTGGCAACCAGCAACATCTTTGACGAGTATGAGCCTGATGTAGAGGTGGAAGAGGGCGAAGCTGGGCAGGAGAGAGTGCAAGAGCATCAGGAGCGAACCAAGAAGGTGATCCTCATGCTGCAGAAGAACTTCAAACGACGTGAATCAGTGCAGCCACTTCATTTCACTCAGATGATACGAACCCCTGAGTCTGCAGCTCCTTCCAAGCACACGGCTGCTGTCGCTTTCTTTGAGTTACTTAATTTGCACGCGAAGGGGTTTGTTTCTCTTGACCAGAAGAATGCTTTTGGAGACATCGCAATTCAAGCGGAAGACAAGCTGATGAAGTACAAAGTGAGATTGTGAGCAGACCCTTGACGATTTCACTCTAGTCGTTGATAAATACACACTTTGTATATGAAGCTACTTTAAAACTCGCTCGCTTCTTGTGCGTAATCTCCTCGATTCCTCGATTTGATGCCGCAGAGCTGACTCGCTCGTCGCATCAGCAATACCAAGTGATTTGCTCTGATACATGGGTGAACCACCCAGGATTTGACGGTTGGAGGACATCTCTTTCGAGATGAAGTCTATAAAGTCATATGTGGTGCAATGAGAATTATCTTTCATCCTCTGATGAAATTCTTCTGCTCCAAGTCTCACTCGCAGTCGCATGGCTGTCTGCGATAATCGTCCTCGATCAGTTCGCGACGTGGTGTCTGTCGGTTGTTGGTCTGTGATATCATTGGCGAGATGATAGGCGAGCTGCTTCACAATGATCCGATCCACCACCTTCTTGTCTAGAGTCTTGGCTTGCCAGAGAAGCTCTGAAATCCTTGCTCCCTGTGAGGAGAACACTCTTCCTGACTCCTGCACAGACAGCAGCCTCTCATGTCGCACTGGCTCGTTCCAAGTCTGCAGCCTTTCTCGGAGTCTGGCGACTTTCTCGCTTAGCACATCTCCTCGCTTGCTCGCAGTCATCCCCGCAGCTTCATCTTCCCCTTGCTTGGCCCATTCCAGGCTTTTTCTTCCCCATCATACACACACACAGTTCAGTTCAAATAATCGCACTACCACGTCGCCGGCGCCCGGCGGCCCGGCGGTCACCGGGTATCGCAACTGAGCGGCCCGGTCCGTCACTTGCCGGCCCGGTAGTGTCACGGGCGACGAGGGCGTGACAGCGGAAGCAGGAAGCCTCAAGTTCTTGTGACGTCAAAGTGCAACGGTTGGAGGCGAAGTTTGACTGTCACGAGTGTCGTGACAGCTACCTCGCCTCCTCTGGCGGAATCGCGGTAGGAGGAACTCAGTACTACTAGTGGCCGCTTTTTAACTTAACTTTGAGTAAAGAAGTCACTAGTGGCCCCGTGGTACATCCAACGGCGACAGGCGGATCAACTTGGTACGCAAATGCCACCGCTTCATCAGCCTGCCTGAAGCAACCTAACTCGAAGACACATGCTTAAACTTTGAAATATTAGAGTGCCTATTGAAACCATTTTAACTCCTGCCTCAAAGTCCGATCAACCTTGTGACTTGGCGGCCTGAATGTCCGTTGACGGATTGTGGTGCTTTACTCCTGCCCTCCCACCCCCTCACCCACCCACCCCTTTCAGAAACATTCACCCTCCCATATCCTTCAACCACCCTACCTTAATCCCATAAATACCCACCCCGCCATAAAGACTCTAGATCCATACCCCCACCCTACCCATCTCGCAAGATTATACAATAAAACCCATGGGCTTGCTACCCGCTCCCATCCTCTCAAGTCTTTGCTCGACTCCTCCCGTCCCATCCTCACCTCAAGTTTCTTCGCTCCTTCACCCTGGTCTTATCTCACTTCTGCTGTGCTCTCATTCTCCATCCCGCCGTCATGAGCGTCGACAGCCATTCCTCTTTCCCTTCTGCTGACCCTTTGAAGAACAAGAAAAGACCTTCCTTGTTGGAGTTTCTGCAGAATCAAGCTGGCGACACATTCTATCCTGAAGATATTCTGAGTGAATTGAGCTTGCAAGACGGCGAGTCTTTTGCTACAAGCCCGTTGTTTATACCTGAATCGCCACAAGGCAAACGAGGGTGTGAAAGGTCAGCAAGCTTCGGGGGTTCTTCCAAAAAACTGCAGTCAGCCATTAGCGATTGTACCGATTGCGAGTACATTGAGATCAAGCTCAATGCTCAGCCTTCTCGCAAGCTTTACAACAGCTTCATAGGACGCAGCGCATCTATGTAATGATATGGCGAGCCTGTACAGCTTCAACTGTGCAACTGGTATCGTAGTGAATTGATGCACATGTTACTTTCCTGCTTCGATAACGCCAGTCAATTGAGTTTAGTCGACTTGTGGCTCATCACATTGTAATATTCTTTCTCTTAGAAATAGCTCCACTCTCTTAATTTGAAACGAACTTGTTAATGCACCCATATTCGAAAATGCTTTGCTGATCTTGGTTGAGTCCGCATGAAAATCGTAGCGATGGAAAGACCCACCAGAGAGCTCGCAGCACCGTGCGTGCAGAAAGCGCCACGACGTTCAAGCATGAAGTCCCCAAAAGGAATCTCCGAATCACTTTGTATCTCATCCAAGCTTGCGATGAAGGTGAAACCGACATGAGACCGGGCATCGTGCTTGGGCAACGTGATTCACAGCCTCCGAACCTTGGGCTTGTTCCTGATCCGTTTCTCCTCTGTAACGAAGCTTAGATCTTCCTGTATTATCTCAATAGATCTTGACTGACCTGCTTTTTCTCTTTCATTCCTCAAGTTTTCAACCTTTTTTTCTAACAGCTGACAAAAGTGTTGGGCTTGTCGTTGGATAATAAGATCACCTGTTGGAGAACGTTGTCTTGATATTTCTTAGCAAGTTCAGCTGCAGTCATGCCTGTCTGAGAGATGAAATGTAGTGTCAACGCGTATGATGCTGGACCGTGGCCATCGTCATATACCGCATCTTTCATTTCAAGGAGCCTCCTAGAGGACGAACACAGTAGGTTAATGATCTCCACGTAATCTTGTGAATACCACGTCAAACCCATTTTGCAAACAGTCGATCATACCTCGCTGGTTGAAACCTTGCTCGTTCTGATTGTGAATACACCCTTTCACAGCCCAGTGAAGCGCTGAAGAACCCCACTGAGAGAAGCATGAGTGGCAAACCACGACAAAGAACCGAAGGATATACGTCATTTGTCGCCAGCACATCAGCGCCCTCGTTTATGAGTTTCTCAACATTCTGTACACGGCCATACTGACACGCTTTGTGAAGGGGCGACATTCCCGTCTGAGAGAAGAACAGGAGCTCAGGAGCGTTGTCACATAGTGATTTTCAACTTTTTCGTGCGAACAGTGATGCAAGAAAACTATCACAGAACATCGATGCACGTTGTCACTCCCTCATTTTTATGTCAATTGAACACATGGTGATCCAAAATGAATTTGAAGTTTTGAAGATTCAAAAGGAAACTTACCAGATCAGTTTTTTCGCCCACAATGACTCCTAACTTGTAGATAGCATCGTTGATATCATCAACCCGGTTTACCTCCATTCCAAGCTGATGTAGACTGTTCCAGCCCATCTTCTAGCTTCGATTTCTAATTAAAGATGAAGTCAACTACAGATCCCTCCCTTCTGGTACACAATCATTCGGTACACGAAAGTCTCACGCCGCACAGCATGTTGGCAATGCGCAAATAGCCCTTAGTATTTGAATTCAGACATGGATGTCAAGGTACAGTATGGTTGAAGATGAAAAAAAAATGGAGATCCTTTCCTACCGCCTGTCTTTACATCATCAATCTAAGAATAAATCTCTCATCTTGTACATCTTCTCTCAACAGATGTCGACTGTCACAACATCTTGTTTCTCAACTTCTTATCTACTCAGGAACGGAACAATGTCTGAGGCTCCGGTCAAGATCGCATCGAAAAACACACGTGGCTCAAACAAATGCTCTTGAATTGCTTCAGCGGGAGCCTCACTCGCTCACTCGCTCACTTATCATCTACTCCTCGCTCACTCCCTCACTTATCGTCTACTCCTCGCTCACTCCCTCACTTATCGTCTACTCCTCGCTCACTCCCTCACTTATCGTCTACTCCTCGCTCACTCCCTCACTTATCGTCTACTCCTCGCTCACTCCCTCACTTATCGTCTACTCCTCGCTCACTCCCTCACTTATCATCTACTCCTCGCTCACTCCCTCACTTATCGTCTACTCCTCGCTCACTCCCTCACTTATCGTCTACTCCTCGCTCACTCCCTCACTTATCGTCTACTCCTCGCTCACTCCCTCACTTATCGTCTACTCCTCGCTCACTCCCTCACTTATCGTCTACTCCTCGCTCACTCGCTCACTCGCTCACTCGCTCACTTATCATCAACTACTCGCTCACTCGCTCACTTATCATCAACTACTCGCTCACTCGCTCACTTATCATCAACTCCTCGCTCACTCCCTCACTCGCTCACTTATCGTCTACTCCTCGCTCACTCCCTCACTTATCGTCTACTCCTCGCTCACTCCCTCACTTATCGTCTACTCCTCGCTCACTCCCTCACTTATCGTCTACTCCTCGCTCACTCCCTCACTTATCGTCTACTCCTCGCTCACTCGCTCACTTATCGTCTACTCCTCGCTCACTCGCTCATTCTTGCTGCCTGTTCACCCAGGGGAGAAAGGATCGGATAGGTCCTCGCACTGGTCAGAGTTTAGCTCTGATTCCAGTTTAGTTACAGGTTAGTTCTTGACCTGTCTTTTAGATATTAGCTAAACGACACAAAACATAAAATTTCAAAATTCTAAATTTCCCGTCGAAATTATGGATCATGGAAGACCCACACGCCAATATTTGAGAGTCCTTGTGTCTGACTCGTACTTGATCCTTTCTATGAAGAACAGGTTGAAGTATAACCAGACCCATGTGTGATTCAAGGCCGTTTCAGAAAATCTGGTCGTGCTGGTAGAGACATGTAGCACAATAGAATATTCATAGCAGCATTGACATCACGAGACTTGATACGGTTTTGAACACAATTGGTGGATCTGCACCATTTCAAACCCCGCACCACTGACACTTCGTCAGCAAGTATACCATTCTTGTTGATTTGTTTGCGTCTCAAATCATACAATTCTTGATGACATTCCGATATACTCAAAAGCCTGTCAGTGATCCGGACTCTCGGGCCCGGGTGATCCGATCAGTACTAGCCGCAGAGCAGAGCTCGCCTCAATGACAAAACTTCCTCATAAACAGAGCCCGCCTCAATCATCGTTGGGCTGATCAGCCCGTGTAAGCTTGAAACAAACTTCGAAGCCTTTTGGCGTGAAGGAGTGGAGTTGATTACACTGACAGCACTTACTCTAGATGGCCTTTGCCCCATCCTACTCCTCCTGGTCTCTTCTGCTCTCGTCTCATCATCCTAGCAATTTCTTGGCAGCTTCCCCGTCTTCAGGCACCTGCTCGCACAACTGAAGGCTGTCAGAAGAGACGGGCAAGGGCTCTCTTCCTACCTCATTTCTCAGCCGCCACACATGAGTTTCTCCCGACCAGCAGCCAGCAGCCAGCAAAGACCCGCTCTCCTGGAAGAGAAGCGCGTTCACGTTGCTTCCAGCCTCCCTCTCCTCTGACTCCACTTCCCATCCTTCTCCTCCTGCTCCTCCTGCGCGAGCGACCCGAGGAGACGCCCGCATGGTCTGCACAGGGTTGGAGGGGTCGACAGTGAGGTCGTAGAGGAAGACGAGGCCGCCGCTGCCTCCAGCTGCAAGAACCAGGGGCTTCATTGGCGACCAGGCGACACAGTAGATGGACAAGACGGAGGGCTCGAGGAGGAGGAGCGGCGCAGCCTGCAGGGAGGAGTGTACACGAATGATCACCATGGAGCCACGCTGACAGCGGAGTGGGATTCGGATGCGCTCAGGCCTTCTCGTCCGCCTCCGCCTCCGCCTCCGCCTCGTCCTCGTCCTGCTCTGCCTTCTCCTCCGCCTCTGCCTTCTCCTCCGGAGACTGCCTCCTCCGCCTTCTCCTCCGCAGGCGAGTTGAAGGATGAAGTTCGGCACCAGAGGAGGACGATCACCTCATCTATCTACACGCTCACACGAGAACCATTTGGTGACTAGCTAAAATCAACTCAAGCAGAAGCATAGTCTTCGTTGACAAATTCTCCAACAGAGGATTGTATGTTATTGACATAGGACGTTGCGGAAGTTTACATACTCCTTGTGCAGGTGCTTCTTCACTTTGTGCAGATCCTCCAACAGCACCTGCAGTCCCTTTTGTTCAATATCGGCCTTCGTCTCCCCTCCACAATCCTTCTCCCCTCTCTTCCTCTATCAATCAGTCTCCATCTTTCCTCTCCTCCTCTCTTCTATCGTGCCCTTCTCCTCCCCTTGAAAAAAGGTCTCCTCTCTCATCCTCTCATTGTCCTCTACCTGAATCTCACAAATATGGCGTCGAAGGTTCGGTGTCGTATCCCATTGCTTCAGCGGCACAAAGGTGCATTCCTTGTTCGTTGCGTTCACTGTCCATCCCACCTGTAAAGCATTTCACACTCCTCTGACATTTCTCCTCTGTTTGGCTGCTTCAAACCCGCCTCTTCCTCGGTCTTACCTCGACACACACACAAAGGTCCCGGTACCCGCCGCAAGCCTTTAGATTGCATCTCCAATCATATCTGCCCGTAGAGTATCAGCCTCCCTACCCTTGCCATGTTGACGCTCTGGCTCCTTCACCGCAGTAGATTCCCTTCCCTCTTCCTCTTACCTGTTCTTGATGCTTGTGATGTTCAAATACGTCTCCTGAAGTGCACGTCAGCGATAAAGACCTCGCCTCGCCTCCCTCCCCTACCTCGCCTATGGACAACATTTTGATCTCTTCATTTATGGATCCACTCAGTCCCTTAGCTACCACGGACATTGACCGCAACCCCTTCACCCACACCAGCACCTCTTCCACAGTCTTCACCACCACTGTACATCGCACAAGGTCGGTCAAGCATGACGCGTCCCGGTGGTACGACCTCACAGTCTTCTGAATCGCTCGCTCGCAAGACTTAACTTTGCCATGCACAACTTCACCCACAGGGTTCCACTGCCCCACCCACATCTGGAACGCGGCGCTGACTTCCTGCGCATGCTCGAACAACGTCTCGATGCTTTTGTTCTGCTGCCGAATCTTCCCGCAACTACTCGAGTACCGCGAAGTTCGTCCCTTCATCATCGCCAACAAGCATCCTTGCCTTCGAGTCCATATCTTTAGCTCCTGTGAGATTGTCTGCACGTTGTTGCTGATATCATCTATCTTATCAGTGCAGGTGGCCACGATCCGGCTCCAAGTCTTCTCGAAGCCTTCCATGGCCACACTGAGATCTTTGAAAGTCTGGTAGTAACAGATCCGGTACTTGACAACAATCATAACATCAATCAAGAGGCAGATAATCCCGAGAACCACAAACATGATCTTTGATTCCTCGGGGGTTATGAACCCATCTCTGATGCAGTAGGCTCCCTGGAAGAGGAAGGCGACTATCCAGATGTAGTGCTGCTTGAAGTGCACAAAGTAAAGAACGAACACTATGCTGGCGATTATAACAAACGAAGAGAACCCGCTGCAACTTGTAGATTCGTATTCCCTGGGTCCGCACTGGATGAAATCTGATATAGACGAGATGATCTTCAGCCAAAGCATGAGATGTGCTGCTCCTATAAACACACGCTTCGCGTTCAATGGCGTATTGTATTTGCACATCAAGAGCCCTGCCATGTACATGGATCCCCACACAAAGCCCAGGCAGGCATCGACAAGTCGAGACACCTGCACTGTCCTCGGCTCTACTGGAAGCTGTGCATGAGGGTCTAACAACCAGATAGAATTCCGTTCTATCATTCTCCGTATCATCACACCCTGGAACGCATATTGAAGGCAGCCCAAGAAGGCAACACAGCATTGAGCTGGCGTCTTCAGCAGCGCCGTCTCCAGCGCATTACTTGATCTCAGGGCCAGGATCCCGTCAACTTCGTTGTCTCTGTATACATCCAGCCTCGTGTCCAACGGCAAGAAACGTTGATCCTTGCTGCACTTGTTTACCATGCTTCCTATCGCTTCCACCGCTTGGTCGTAAAACGTTTCCTTTGCTCTATTGATCTCTTCGCACAACTCCTCGCTGTCATCCAACGTCCTCGCACCCCTCATCGACTTCATCGTGTTCACCGCAGTCAGTCGGTCTAGCGAGTCGATGCCCCGAAGCGCAAAGAACTCGTGCAGGAGCTCGAACGTCCCAGTCTGCTTCAACACCTGCGTCATCTCTGACCCCCGCGGGTTGTGCTTCTCATAATGCAAAAGCCGTTCGGCTACCTGCTCCCTCAGCTCATCAACCAGGTGCTCAGTTATTACAGCACCAGCTCCCTCTGCACTCCTCCTCTCGTCTAGACCCTTTGCTACCAGGTACACCCCGCATGCTCCTCGCACTGCTGCAGGTTCACTTCCAAGTCCCAGTATCCTCCTGCTTGAGTTCGACAGAAGCTTCATCACAGCATCTCGCACCGACACGCCGCTCAGATAAGCCAGCATCTTGTCCTTGTCTTCCTGCACTCCCGCCCCTAGCAAGAGCAAGCACGCCTTCTGGCTGTTCAAACTTGATCCTGCGCTACTCAGCCTCCCTACGGCCTCCTCCAGAGGTACAAATCCTCCTCCCTCGTCTCGAAGGATCGGCATGACTAGTCTCAATCGACCGGCATTCTTCTCGAGCAGGTAGATCATCGCAAGTACAAGCTGTAGGAATTCGCACTCCCTGTCAGACCCCTCCTGCACTCCTTCCAGTATGCCAAGCACGCTTGTCACTTTACCCCAGGTTATCACCGGCACGAACATCGTGCAGTACCCCAGGTACCTCTCTTTGCTGAACGCCTGGTGGTTGACTGACAGATAGGAGATGCAGTTGACGTCCAGGTAAATCTTATGCGCATAGATCTTGAACAACCATGACAGCTCTGGTTTCATCCTCGCATGCAGTTCTTTATGAAGCTCGTCCGCAAACACCTGTTCATCGAAGGCTCTCAACTCTCTGTCCTCAACCTCATCTATCTGCCGAAGCCCATCCGTGTGTTTGACCTGATGCCATCGGAAGACAAAGAAGTGCACCTTGTCATCGCTGCTCTCAAGGCAGAGCTTGGACTTGCGCTGCAGGAACGTGAGCCGAGATGGCTGCATAACGAGCGCAAGCAGCTTTGAGCTCATGGATGATGCTGAATCTGGTTGGGTAAGGAGTGAAGGTGATGGAAGTGTTGTGGCTCGGGCAGCAACTTCAGCACAGGAACAGCTTCACGACTGGGGCTGCCATGCTGCAGGTTAAAAAGGAAGGTGTATCCAACAAGCTTTTACTCAAAGCCCAATAATGTACTGAGATACCCTGATTCTCTTTACTCAAAGTTACGTTTCAGTATGGTCCAGAAAGACCCCACCCCTCTCACCCTCAAGGGGGGTTAAATTTTTGCGTGGGAGGGGGTTATTATCGGCAGTTGGTAGATATACGGGTGGTATATGGGGGTACTCGAGGATACACGACAAGGGGTACCATACAAGGGGTACTCGTTGATACACAAAAGCCTGTGACTCTCGGGGGTGATCCGATCAGTACTAACTAACAGAGCTCGCCTCAGCCTCAATGACAAAACTTCCCGGCATAAACTTGAAACAGAGTCCGCCTCAATAATCATCGTGCCAGTGTAGGCCGGGCCGGGCCCTCCCCGGCCCGTCGGCACCTCGGACACCGTGCCTTCAAGTTGCCCGGCCCGGGCACTGAGAGTCAGGCTCGAGTCCGACCGTCTAAATCGGCAGCCAGTGACAAGTACGGTCCAATCGGTCGAGTCTTCAACGGTCACTGACGTCACCGTCCTCGGACACTGGCATGCCGGCGGATCACTGAGTCATACGGTACCGAGCCTCGAAAATGGCATGTCGCCGGTCGGAGCGGCGGGCGGCCCGGCCCGGCCCGGTGACCCGCCTCACCGTCCGGCCGTACGGTCACTAGCGGACAATCCATGATCATCGGATGAGAGTGAGCCGTTGACTAGCTCAGACAGTTACAAGAACGGAGAGATCGACGTGCACTTCATGCTCGAGAGCGGCGTATTGAATCGGCAAGAGCACTGGTGACGGTGTTATAAAGAGACCCGGGAGGCAAGCTTGAAACAAACTTCGAAGCCTTTTGGCGTGAAGGAGTGGAGTTGATTACAGCACTTACTCTAGATGGCCTTTGCCCCATCCTACTCCTCCTGGTCTCTTCTGCTCTCGTCTCATCATCCTAGCAATTTCTTGGCAGCTTCCCCGTCTTCAGGCACCTGCTCGCACAACTGAAGGCTGTCAGAAGAGACGGGCAAGGGCTCTCTTCCTACCTCATTTCTCAGCCGCCACACATGAGTTTCTCCCGACCAGCAGCCAGCAGCCAGCAAAGACCCGCTTTCCTGGAAGAGAAGCGCGTTCACGTTGCTTCCAGCCTCCCTCTCCTCTGACTCCACTTCCCATCCTTCTCCTCCTGCTCCTCCTGCGCGAGCGACCCGAGGAGACGCCCGCATGGTCTGCACAGGGTTGGAGGGGTCGACAGTGAGGTCGTAGAGGAAGACGAGGCCGCCGCTGCCTCCAGCTGCAAGAACCAGGGGCTTCATTGGCGACCAGGCGACACAGTAGATGGACAAGACGGAGGGCTCGAGGAGGAGGAGCGGCGCAGCCTGCAGGGAGGAGTGTACACGAATGATGCCATCAGCGGCACACGAAGCAAAAAGATTCCGGAGAAGCGGAGAGAATGCGACGGAGTGCACAGGTCCCATATGAGGATAAAACGAGTACGTGATAGGACACTCCATCTTGGGCAGCTGAAGCTTTGAGGAGGAGGCGGAGGAAGAGAAGGACGAGGAGGGCTGCCTGAAGCAATCTTCTCCGAGCTGAGCCTTGACCTTCATGTGAATCTTCGAGTAGTTGAGAAAGCAGCGGAAAACTCCACCAACCTCTGTGCCGATGAGAAAACCTCCAGTCTCCTGGCGTCCTTTCTTCTCTTGTTCTCCTTCTCTCAGTGCCTCCATCCCTGTGAGTCGCTCCACCCTCAAGCATGTCAAGCCTAGCGGCTTCAACTTCTGAGTGCCATGAGCAAAGACAAGCCCCAGGCTCGCGACGTTGGTATCTTCTGGCGGCTCCATCTTGAAGGATGCAAGCGGCCAGAGCTCGACCCCATCCCCTTCCTTGAGCCGCCAAAGCACCATCGCTCCCTCAAGAGAGCTCGAGAGCAGGTGGAAGTCACCCAGCAGAGCGTCGTAAGTCCACTCGAGGGCGCTGATGCTTTCACGATGCATCTGGGAGCCGTGACGCACTTGAAAGCTCTCCTTCCTCCCCAGGTCATGCCCGCTCACTTCCCCCGACGACGTGCCGTAGAGGAGGAGGCCGGGATGCCTGGGATGGAACTGAACGGAAGTGACGCTGGAGGACGCGAGAATGACGTCATCGGGTTCTCCTTCTCGCAAGAAAATCCTCGAGAGGTTCCAGACCGCCACGCGTGACTCTCGCGTGTCAGTGCCGAGAAGAGAGATGCTGCCGTAGGCGACCGCGAGAAGATTGCCCCTGCAGTTCCACGAGAGAGACAAGACACTCTGAACGGCAGCAGCAGCAGCAGAAGAAGAAGTCGAGGAAGAGTCTGATTGCGCGGGAGTGGATAAAGTATACAGGTGCAGGTTCTCAATCGAGTTCTCCTCCCACCTCGCTGAGTATCCCTGGAACGCCTGCGAAGAAGCGTTTGCTCGCAGCGCACTCTCCATGTCGCTAACCAACTTGCTGCTGATCGCCTGCGAATCTTCACGTGGGGCCAGCAGGTCCTGCAAGCTCGACGTCTGGCATGCAACTGCCTCAAAGAATCTTGCTTGAGCGCCGGTGGACCTTAAGGTCACCTCCTCCGACTGCGAGCTTGCTTCCCGCATTTCTCTCTCCCGCATCCACTCAGGCAGGAAGTCTTCCCCGTCCTCTCCTCCATTCTCCAGCTGCTCAAATATCACCCTTCCTTGCGCGTCTCGACGCAGAGAACCCATGGCTGCTTTCGCCTCCTCTGCCTCCCCACTATTCGTCTCCTCTTGTCAGCCTCGAGATTTCTCGGCAGGCTCTGGGCACGTCTCTGCCCGGGACTGTCATCGATCGATCCTGTTGCGACATCCGGACGTCAGTCAACCCAGTTGGTGAATCAAAGAAAGAGCATGCAGAGCGCGGGAACCAGTAGCAACCGACAGCTAAATCACTATGAGCTCAGCAGAACAAGCAGAACAAGCATGCGGCTGGTGGTTGTATTCGTCTGAGCATCTTTGCGCACAGAAGAGAAATCGACAGAGACGGGCTGAGCTACTCAGGGGAGGATGCGAAGAGAAGATTGAGATGGGATGAAATGAGAAGCGACAATGGGTGGGGATGGGTGAGAAAATGATGCCATGGGGTAGGAGAAATGGAAGGGGAGAGGAAGAGAAGATGGGAAGGCAGGATAACAGAGGGGAAGGCGAGAAAAGAGGGGAGGGGAGGGGAGGAGGGAAGGAGAGGAGACATGTAGGGAGAGATATGATAGCGGGAGGAGATAGGAGAGGAAGAGATAGGAGAGGAAGAGATAGGAGAGGAAGAGATAGGAGAGGAAGAGATAGGAGAGGAAGAGATAGGAGAGGAAGAGATAGGAGAGGAAGAGATAGGAGAGGAAGAGATAGGAGGGGAAGAGATAGGAGGGGAGGGGAGAGGAGTGGAGGAGAAGGAGCATTTGGTTCCTGCGAGAACGAAATTTTCGGCGCCAACATTTTTGTTAACTGATTTGAGGGAAATTCATCTCCCTCACTTCCCATACCCTCATCCCCGAAGCATGTTGGCAGCATGGGCGATCCTGGTAAGAGCGGCTGACGCGGAAGAGAAGAGGAGGGGAAAGATGAAGAGAAGGATGAGCGAGAGAGGTTAAGAGGGAGGAGAGACAGAGAAGAAGAGAAGACGAGAAGAGGAGAAAGAAGAGAAGAGAAGAGAAGAGAAGAAGATGTCGAATGGCAGGAAAATGATAGAGGGGAAGCCGAGGAAGAGAGGTGGAGGAGAAGAAAAGGAGGAAAGATGGAGAGCTCAAGACAGGAGAACGAATGATGCACCGGAGATACATACAAGAAACTAAAGTAAGAGTCTTGGACGAGGGGAAGAAGAAGGTGGGGAGCATTGAATGTAGTGGGTCCACGTGGCGATAAAGGATACCAGGGCGAAGGGAAAGGGATGTAGTTTCGACACAAGGTGGAGGAACAGTGAGAATGAAGAGAACGACAGCGAAGTAGATGACAGAGGATAGCAGTGAGGGGAGCGGAGGAGGAATCCGCATTCCTCACCTTCGCTGCTCTAGGTTGTTCTCGTGGGGTCGCCCTACGTGTCGGGGGTTGAGATCGCTTCTCGACGAGTGGCAGGAGGTGAAGGCCTGTGGGAGGGAGGACGCTTGCTAACACTTCCTCAGAGTTCATCTTCCAGTTCACTCAGTTCCTTGACCACCAGACTCGCCACCAAATCCTTGACGAGGTCAGTCGCCCCCTCTTCTCTCATGCTGCTCGCCTGCTCGCATGCCTGACAGCATCTTGTCAACAGCTTCTTCCTCGCAAGATGTGGGAGGAGGTGCTGGAGAGCCGACCCTTCACTCGTCAGAGCTTCCCGAGCGACTTCATGGTTGTCAAGGTACTCAGAGAGGCAGGGGCCCCTACCTCCCCCGACCTCCTCCGACTCCTCCGACCTCCTCCGACCTCCTCCGACCTCTTCGCAGGTGCTTCGCGATGGCCTCCAGGTGGATCAGCTCAAGCATCCTCGTCTGAAGCGCATCGTCCCTGAGCGGCGATATCGCATCCTCACCCCCCACGACGCGTCGCTGCCTGCCAGTGCCGTCCGAGAGGCCGAGTGAGGAAAGACAGGCGCGTGCCTCCCGCTAAGCGAACGTCGCAGGACGCGAGCGAGGCTGCCAGCTCCCAGCAGCTCAAGGCGCATTTTAAGTATAGCAGAGAAGTATGACGCAAAGCAGATCTGGGCGAAGGGCTTCAGGTGAGGAGAGGAGAGGAGAGGAGAGGAGAGGGAGAGGAGAGGAGGAGGAGGAGGAGGAGGAGAGGAGGAGGAGGAGGAGGAA